AGTTGGTAATCTTAAAATTGCTGATGATAAAGAAGATTCTGATGAAGACAATAAAAGTGATGGGGAAGAATCTGCTCCTGTAGAAAGAAGAGCTCCAAATGAACTTCTAATGGAGGTTATTATGACAAAATACTAATTTAGAATATTTGTTTCTTTCTCTGTTTGTTCAAATAGAACTTTTAAACCATAATAAAAATGTTTTGGATAAAAAAAATAAGTGAAGTAGCTTAAATTACAATGAGAAATCAAATAACAGACTGGAACCACATAAAAATGCTTTCACAGTTTTTATCTTGACAAATATCATGTGAACTTTAGTATGAACCATAATTATGACAAAAACACACAAATGTAATAAAGAAAAAAAAATGTCCGGTTATCATCTGATCTTTATCAAACTACTTTACTTTTTCTCTTAAAGATCATATTTAGAAAACACATTTTTTAATATAATCTTTACAGTTTATAGACTGCCTTATGAAAAAGGACTATAAAAATGCTGAGAAGTTATGTCAGATGAGTATGTTATTTATGTATTTATTTTGTCAAAAGAGTACATTTAAGTTTCTATTTCATTTCCATAGATTTTATTTGTTAAATTAAAAAAAAACACTCTAATTCCTAATTGACATTTATAGTCTATGTGATATATCTTTATGTAGTTTTGTTGTTTGAACCTAAGAATCCTGAAGCATTGAAATTTCAACCATTGTTGCAAAGAAAATTAAAGCTTGGTAAGTTATAAAACATTAGATCACATCCTGTCAATTTCCTAAACTCTTTGTTTCTTTTTATTAAGTCATTTTTTTTCCAGGTTGAGTTGCTAACCTTTTTTATCATTTTATATCAGTTTAAAAAAAAAACTGATATAAAATTATAAAAACAGTGCTTGCGCTCCATCATGGACAAACGGTAGCAAGACCGCACTACAAACAGTGATGTCCTTGCAAACGTCAGTATGGACAGTATAGAGGGACTTCTTATGGTCTGACAGCTATGATGGGTAGGGCATATATCCCATATGGGGGACGAACATATGCCAAAGGCAGTCTTTTTTGGTGATCTAAAAGGTGGTTGACTTAACAGAGGCGTCCCACGGAAGCGCTTTAAAGACCAGCTTAGGCGCCAACTTGCCTTAGCTGACATAGAAGAGAGCACCTGGTTGCATGCGGCCTCAGAACGAGATAGCTGGAGGTCACTCACAAAGCCTCAAAGGCTGCGGAATACACACTTGAGACCAAAGGAAAATCCACTGCCGAGGACAGATGCAGATGTCGAAAAGAAAATCTAAATCGACCACCTGCTCGACAATGGTTATGCTTGCCCTAATGCAGCAAAATATGTAGGTCACAGTTGGGGCTGCGCTGCCATGGGAAATACTGCATTCCTCACTTATCTTCGAACTCAAAGACTTATTATTATTATTAAATCAATTTTAAACTTTTTACTTGAAAAGAAAGAAAAACAAGTACTTATATAGAGCTGAACCCTTTGGTTTCTTTAGTAATGAAGATTATTATGTACCAGCACAAACCTCCTGTACGATGGCATTGGATGGAAGTGGGCAAGGTTTGATTTTGGACCCATTGCAACAACAGACTGAAATGCAAACCAAAAGACCAGGCAGCTATTAAGGTTCTACTACCACATTCTCTTTTTCCCTTGCCTTCGGAATACAATAGTGTTAGCTTTCATTCCCAAATTAATTTTGTAAAAGCTACAAAATGATGTCCAATAGTATTACTTTGATTTACCATGATTGACATGACAGTTTATGTATCATTTTTTAATGAATCAAATCAGTTGATATAATCTCACTTCTATAATACTAGGTGAAAGGGCTGCATTGGCTGGAGATGATGATGATGAGGATGATGATGAAAGCAGTAGTGATGATAGTGATGAGGGCAGCTTTGATGACAGTGATGATATGACAAGGTAAATATTCGCTGTAAGAAATGAGTGAATGTGAAAATAGGAGCCACTATAAGAGTTGCACTTAAGTTTCACTCTGAATGTCCAGCCATTTTTTGCTATACGGACGTATTTGGCTCTGGCTGAATTCCACTGCAAGATAGCTGGCCAGATAATAAGTACACTGTATTATTATAATAAAAGTACACTGTATTGTTATTATAATAAAAAGTACACTGTATTGCTATTATAATAAAAAGTACACTGTATTATTTACCTGTCTATCTCCTCCTTTCCCATTTGTTTAGTCCATCATATTGAGTTTATAGATAGACATGTGACCACATAAAGACAACCTGTTGACACTTTTTGGGAACTAAGTTGGCTCATAATTGAGATAAATGTCAATTAGTGGGCTGTGAGTACATGACACAGGCCTACTAGCATGGCCTATTGTTACACTAACTACCAGTACCAGTATATAACTGTATTTCATTAGTGATGGGAACTGAACTAAATTTAAAAAAAAAATAAATAATATGTAATTATAAACTAAAAATAAAATAGTTCAACTAAATGTTAATTACAAATTTAAACAAAAAAAATAGTTTAACTAAAATAAAAAAATAATTAATTTTTGACAAATTTCATTTTTTTTTTGAGGGGGGTTTGTTTGGTCTAGATCTAGCTAATCTATCTTATATTATAGGCCTACGGTTGTAGAAATCTTTCACCACAATAAAAACAGTAATAAGGAAGATGTTTCTTACATACGTTCTTGCACAATAAAATTAAAAAAAAGTGTGTGTGTGTGTGTGTATATTTGCCTTGAATTAAAACTTTAAAAAAACAAAAAAAAAGGCTACTTTCATTTTTTTATTCTATTAACTTATTATATAATGGAAAATCTCACAGTAAAGTTTAAAATCTCATATAAAAGAAATTAATCCATGGTGGTCATCACTGTCATTGTTTATACATAATATAGTAGGCCTACATGTGCATGTCTATTTGATCATATCGTTAAAATTAGTTGGACACAGGCTATTTACTTTTTGGGTAGGGAGTGTGTGGATGGGTGAATTTTTTGTTCTCATGAGTTAGTTGTTCTATGGCTCTTAGACCTAAATAACTTTATCAGTATCTATCCCTAGCTGCCAGGACCATAAGGGGTCCATGGCCTTTTAAATACAAGTCTTTGCTATCAGTGTTTTGTATCTCTTTTGTGATGGTAAAATCACAAAATCCTGACCCAAAGGGTCATGCCTGGTGTGAATGTACATTTTGTTTTTTTTCTAGTTACAATGTTTTGTTTGGTGTAATGGTCAAATTGTAAAACAAATTTCCTAACAGACCATAAAGATTATTATTATTATGACCAATTGATGGTCTGAAATACATCTACATATATATATATTCACCCACCAAACCCTTATTGCATTTTACCATTGAGAGCTTTACATTAGTTTAATATCCATTTATGTATTCTACATTGACCATCCCACTTTACAGTTGCTGGCCTCGTAATACGCACATCATCTTACATTACACAGATTAGTTTGTGATAGGTCATAGGCCTATCTATAAATAATTGGTGTTTAATTAATTCATCAATTAGTAATGGAGTTTAAAACAATAAGGTAACAAAAAAATTATTTTAATATAGGTATGTTATTTAGAAGCATTGCAAAATGTTCAGTAACACAAGCTATTTATAAGACATGTAGATATTATATTTTAATATCCAGCTTCAGCAGGATATCAAAAAGTACTATTTAGTGCAGTCCTAACCACTTAAGTAGCTACAATGAAATTTCAGATGTTTTTAAGAAATAACAGAATTTCTTGTTACAGCTCTGATGAAAGTACAGACTTTGAGGAAAAAGAAGATAAAGAAAAGGAATTGAACACAATATCTGAACAATCAAAAGTGGCCCAGAATCCTGCTAGAACTATCCTTCAAATGATATTTGGTGGCGACTCCCCTGAATTTATTAACCCAGATACAAAAATCGATTTAGCAGAGGAGATTAAAAAACTGGATGATTTTTAGAAGTGAAAAAGGAACATAAAAATGTGTATATGTATGAATACATTCTCAACCTATTGTACATTTGTCTCAGTCATAATTGTTATAAGTTTTAATCAACATGCTGAACCAGATGTTGCAAGTTAACACTTTGTTGGTTGTGCAATCAAATGTCAATGTTTATTCTGAATAAAAGTGTGTGGATGTGTTCTTTTGAATAAGGTTCAATTTCTTCCATACATTTGATTTAAATTTTTTTTATTTTTGAAATTTATTAAACTAAAAATGACTTTAAACCAGTTGTAATGTTTTCAGTAGTGACATGGGCAGAGTGACAATTTAGCAATGCAATAATGATCCAATTCATAGCATGGTGTATGGTAGGGAAGGGGCTGCCGAGATGAAATAATCATAGATATAAAAAATAAGAAAAAAATTATTAAGTGCGTTTTAGAGTAATTAATTGATTTGTACTGTACAACACCATAGCCAAATTGTTTAAAATGAACACATTATTTGAAGACTATTATTAGAGATAATGAATGCTAGCAACATTAAGAACAAAAATTAATACTTATCACTTTTGCTCAATCTAATGATCAAATAAAAACATTAAATTCACTGGTATCAAGTTATGGGTCATTGAATTTTTTTTTTTTTTGTTAAAATTAATTTATGAAATTTGTTTTCCCCCTATCCCCTCGTATTAAAGTTTAAATTTCTTATTAGCCAATCTTTATCTCAAGAACATCTATCTAGGTAACTAATGTATTTTAAGTTACCAGCTTTTAAAATAATGAGTATTATAAAGATTAGTTCACAAATATTACTAAGGCATCTTTGTAGTTGACAGTAAAGCCTGGGGATATTTCAGAGACTAATTGAAATTACAAAATTAGAAAAAATGTTGTAACTTGTTAACTTGGCATATATGTGTGTACCAGTTTTTTTTTTCTCTTTTGGCAAGGCATTTAACATAAAATCTTGTCCAAGTTATTTTACATTTGCAGCTTTGTATTTAAAAGAATAGAAAGAATAAATGATAAGCAAACAAGCATTCAATGTAGCAGCAAAACAATTGACTTTAATGGCTGTCTGTCCAGAACATTGACACAATGTACATGTGACCTAATTCAATGTTTAACATAATGACCTCTCTCTTCTCACAGTGGTTTCTAATTGGACCAAAAAAAAATATAATAAAGTTCACAACTTGTCAGACTCACTCACTCTTATATTAAAGGAAGTCATGGCTGGGTCAAGGCCACAAAGCCTCTAGTTGACAGTAGTAAAACTGATCACAGAACTCTCTCAACTCCTAGTGTTATAGTAGACATGAGTTGTTGAAATAATTTAATAAAAAAAAACACAAAAAAAAACAAAACATGCCTCTCATTACCGAGATAATTATTCAAAAGTATATGTACAATTGTTATTATCAGAGAAAAAGAAATAGAAAGTGTAATTTTTATTACAAAATTCATTAACATTTAAACTATAATTTAATGAAATAATATTGATATATTCTGCACAAGATCATCTCAGCATATAGATATACAGTGGACAAGATTCCCCATACATACATGTAATGAAGATGTAGCTCCAAAAAAATCATTTGACAAGTGATACAAAGAATTTGAAAAAGAAAATTAATCATCTAAATCCCAAGTCAAATATAAAGAGAGAAAAAAAAAAGCATTCAATATACATCATTTTAAATATTAAATAATCACACGGAGGGAGAATGGCACATTTGAATTTGACGCATGGAAAATGTCCATTGATGATTGTGTCCTACTGAATCAGCTACACAGGGGATTTCACTTCAGGACACAGTGTGATGACAGAGACGTAACCAGTTACAACTGGTTTAATACCTTACCACATAGGTGACTGCTAAATAAAAAAAAACCATAACATTAAAATAATTGACTGAAATGTACGATATAATCACAAAATACTATTCTAGCTCAGGCGTTTCAAAATGCTCAAGTTTGAAGATAAATTTGGATGAAAAAAAATGCCTTAAACATATTTGAGTATTCTCCATAAGGACGCTGAAGATATAAATAAATAAATGTACAAACTTATACAAATTACTAAAGCCTAACATTTTCCTAATGAATCATCTTAATGCTTTAACAAGATCAAATGAAAAAAAAAACCAGAAAAGAAATCATGCTAACTAAAATTTCTCAAATTAAAAAAAAAAAAAAGGATAATGGAAAGATAAGCACTCGATATTTTCATTTCTGGGATACATTAAATAAAAATACAATTAACACATATATTAATACTAGAGTTAACAAACATTTTTTCAAAACCCAATAACCTTCTCAGATGTTAAATAAAAGTGTACTCATATCAAAGGAAAGCTCAATTGAAAATGTTTAATCGACAAATTTTAATTTCTGGACAATTAGTTTGAATAAAGCCCACTACACTTACAGTGAATGAAATTTTGTGGAGTGATTTGATCAACACCAAGAACTTAATGTCTGAGTTGGATCACTCATAGAAAGTGAATGATTAAAAAGTACATTTTGGCTTAGAGCCAACAAATACATAAAGATTAAATCCATTGTGGGGATACTTAAGCCAAAAAGGTATGTAAGTAAAACATGACATAATAATTACAAAGAACTTAGTTAATTAGCTAATAGTTTGGGTGAAAATAAAACTCAATATCTTTGATTTTTATTGATATAATCCTTTTAAGTTAAAAAAAAAAAATCCACATTTTTTTTTTTTTTATAGTTAAGTCATAATTGCACAGAACACAACCAAATAATTTTTTTAACAACAAAATCACAAGTTTTTGACCTCCAGTGTTGTAGTGTAATGTAGATTCATAGTAAAAACATTGGAAATAGAAAAAAAAAATAAAAACATGTAACATAATAACAGTTTTTAATAATGAGAATGGAATTGTTGTCAGAGGGCCAATTAAACATTAGTCATAACGATCCAACAGGTTTTGGAAGAAAGAAACCAAGAGAAAAAAAAAAAAAAAGAGCAATGGTGATCACAATTTCATAGTACAAAAGAAAAAAATGTAATAAAACTTTTAATTATAATATTTAAACAAAAATTATTATAATATAATCACAATTGTTCAAAGTTTTAAAAATGCCATTTAGCAATGATAAGAAATACTATTATCTATACAAAACAAATACTATGTACTGTGTACATGCAGTGAACTCAATAGTTTGTATTATTGAAAGTGTGTGATGAGGATTATTATTATATATATATTTATATGTATTTATACAACATTCATAACAAAAAGAAGCAGGAGGGAAATATTATTTACTTGAATACAAGAAGTATAAATGTTGCAAGTCACATGGTCCATGAAACAGCCCAACTTTCTTAACCATCTTAACTCTATTAAAGTAAAACTTTGCATTAACATGGATATTGCCCAATCCCAATTCCTGCAATGGGTGAACAGTCTATTTCTAAAATTCTGAGTCATTGAAAATTTTATAATAGGGACAAAAGCATTATGGCATGTAGGTAGGAGCTTTTTGAGAACAATTCATTTATGCGCAGACATGAGAGTGTAATAAATTAAGCAATGGTTTATATACATGACTTGAAATGCTATGTGCAACTCACACTACCCTGGCAAACATACAACACCCAGATTTAATCAACAAATTTCAAATTGAGTGATGATAGTCAAAATGATCACGATCCCAAACACACAAGCCACATCTATTCATTATCTCTTGTCGGAAAGAATGAAATACAAAATAATATTTGCGTTGTCTGTTATTATGCAGACTTATAAAAAAAAACAAAAAACCCACATAAAATGTGCTGTTAATGTTTCAAATATGTGTAACATGAAAATAAAGTTGACATGACCTTTTTTAAAATATTCAAATAAGCTAAATAGTAATTTAAAGCAATGACTGTCTCTAGATAAAACAATTAGATTAGGAGATGACATTTGTCTTAAAAATGTGTATTTGTAACATTTAATTAAAAACAAAAATTTAATGAATATAGGCAAAACCATATTATTGAGACCAATTTGTTGAACATAATAAAACCTAGAATACACCAATCTTGAATGCTCAAGATTTGCTCTTTGGAGATATTTATTTAAAACTTTTGTAAAAGCTATTGTTTCAAGTAGCCTTTATATGAATAATCATAATACCTTATTACTCACTTCTATAGGTCCTAGACCTAACTGAGTCTTCAAACATATAAGCACTACATGCAGTAAGTAAAAATACATTTTTATAGGACTATGGTTTGCATTCAGGTTTGCACATCTTCAAGTCAGAATTTGGCCCAGCTGCTGGTAGCTCTCAGGTCTCAAGTAGTGCTCACTACTTCTATGTGGAAACTAAAAAGTTGAATAGAAAAACCGAGATTAGTAGTGCAAGCTTTCTTAAACATGTACCTAAAAAAAATGTTTTAAGCATATATCAATTCTGCCTTACTCAATGTTCATTTGAGATTTAGCTAACTGTTAGAGAATCTGAGAGTAAAAGTTATTCGTAAAATTAGTCTGATTAATAGAGGAACCTAATCGTATATACAATTTTGGAGTCTAAAAGAACGTCACTTGATTGATTTCCTAAATGTCTTCTGAGAAGATGCTGCATCGCCATTTAAAACAGGCCCAGCCTGTAAAGTTACCAGGCGAGGTTCAATCAGGATCTTACTTTTCCCTTGCTTTTGACCAGATCCCCCACCAGATTTCTTTTGATTTCCATCTTTATCCCTAGAAATGATAGAAGACAGGTGGTCTTTGAGAGATAGGCCAGATTTCTTGACAGCAGAGTTTACCACACCACTGGGGACAAGGTTTGTAGTCTCATTCAATGTCTGCTCTACAAAACTAGAGGCAGTGTTTAGACAAGTCAGGAGAGTAGTGCTGTGATGGGGTGCTTGAACATGTGACAAAGGTGCAGACGACTGTATGAGATGAGGGGGTGCTGCTAATATCTTGATATGGTTAGGAAATGTCCCTGGTGGTGGATTAACTTCACAGTGACTAGATAAGGTCATAGGTGGAGTGTAGCTATTAGTCAAGTCTACACTCTCTGAACACTTTACAGAAGAGTCAAACATCTTCTCTTGGAGACAAATACCTTCTGATTTTATAAAAGAAGTTTCATCTGATATGCTCACCAGCTTTCCTAGGTCATGCTCTTTGACTAAGCTTGATTTTGCTCGTACTTGAGATTTCTTACTTTTGCTTTTTGGAGGTGGTGGGGGTTGATTTTTAGCTGCCAGAATCAATTCTTTCTGTTGCTGCACAGCTTCTGCTAAAATTTGCTGCACTGTAGCCGCTATATCTTCTTCATTTCTTTCAGACTCAGGATCAAGCTTTTTACTATCCGTTTTTTTAGATTTCGTTGATTTAGATTTTGAGGTTTTACTGGATTGAGCTAATTTTGTTCCAGGAACTGTTAAAGTTTTTGAAGTGCTAGTGATTGTAGTCTGGACAGAAAGTGGTGTTGAACTGGACTCCTGAGTTAGGATACCTGAGGGAGCTAGTGTTGGGGTTTTGTTAATAGGTATTACCTGGTCTGAGGCTATCTGCTGGGACTGGACTGTGGCTACTACAGAAGGTAGACTTTTAGCTGAAGCCTGCATCAAACCAGGGACTCCAGTGTTGTGTATGACACCAACAGCCCCACCTGTGTTGACTGACGTGACCTGGTGGACAGTTATAGCTGCAGGAGAGATGTGCTGAAGCTGGGCAGTAGCCGGAGATAGCTGGTTCTGGTAGCTCTGAGCCACTGGGGACAGGCTGGAGTGCAGTGCATTGATGTCCATCACTGAGTTCAGGTGCAGACTTCTCTGAGGTACAACAGTGTTCATAATAGTTTGGGTCCCTAAAGTAGCTTGGTTTGGACTTGAGTTCTGGTTCAGGGGCAGTGAAATGCCATGAATATTTTGACCTTGGTTCTGAATCTGTTGCAACAATAGCTGTTGCAATTGAAGCAACTGCAGTTGCTGCTGCTGCTGTTGTTGTTGCTGCACCCCAGTTAGATTAACAGCACCCATCATCTGTTGGAAATTAATGGGATTAAAACCAGCACTCATCAAGTTTTGTAGCTGATTATGATCTATGGACTGGCTGAATATTTGAGTGAGATTGTTTAGGTCTGTTGTTAGATTTGTGGCAGAGCCCAACTGTTGGGACGTGCCCAAAACTTGCATCATGGGATTGGCATTAGGTTGAGGTATAACAAACACTGGTTGGCTTGTTGATGCATATAAAGATGGATTAGCCATGGATACAGTGTCTTTTACCTGAGAGATATTTATCTCTGCCTTGTCCAGCTGGTCATCTGACCTTGCATTGTTCTGAAAATTATTAATGATGCCAGACTGTGCTATTGAGTTGACTAGAACATCATTGTGGTCAGAGGTGACTGTCAATGTTGGCAGAGACACACTAGCAAACATATTCTGACCTCCAATGACAGCATTCTGAGTCTGTTTTTGTAAGTGGCCCTGTAAGAAAGAAGGTGACATCTGTTGAAGATGCTGTTGGCCCTGGGCAAGAATCTGTGCAGCCATAGCTGGTGAGAGCTGTGAAATAGAATTGGTAGGAGACACCTGTTGAATGGGGTTGGTGATAAGCAGCTGATTGTTCAGGCTTTGGACAGAGAGTGCATTCATTATCTGAGTGGTTTGAGATGTATTGTTGACCAGCTGTGCCCCTTGAGGAGCTGAACCTACTACCTGGCCACCCTGAGAAGTATTCATCATGTGCGACCCAGGGCCTGTGGCAGAAGTGTTTATTATTTGTGGCCCACCCTGCTGAGCATTGATGAGCTGTGGTGTCACCTGCTGAGTGTTAAACACAGTCTGGTTAATGCCAATAGTGGGCACTACCTGGGCCAAAGACTTGGTGACATTAGTCACAACTGATACAGAGACAGGTGGCATTGCATTGTTCATGATCATCCGTGGACCAAAATTGTTCAACAACATGGTGGTGTCCTGGGTGCACTGTGGGCCAAGGCTGGAGGGGATGACAGATGCAACAGACAGTTTCAATTGAGAACCAAGCTCTGGGGAACGGGAAACTGCAGTGAGAATACCTTGGGCCATCAATGGGTTCATATTTCCAGATCCAGCTATTGGTGTCTTGTGATCATGTTCAGGGCCAAAGGTCGCAGTATGGATAGAGTCTGATGTAAACGTCTGACCCTGACCACAGACTGGCAGAATCATGTTCATGGTGAAGTTACCTGAAGTTAATTGCTGTAGTTGCATCATGTTACCTAAAAGGTTTGGGTTATTGCTGAGTTGCTGTATGCATGGAGAAGGTTGATGTGGATGCTGCTGAAGTTGTGAGATTGTTGCATTTGTGATAGACCCACAGGCTGTACTGGAAGTAACTACACTCTTTGCTCCACCACCGCTAACCATACTTATACATGTGGTAGGCATTCCTTCATTCTTATTTATCTGAACTGTAGACAAACTAGCACCATTGTTCTGCAAATTAAGCTGTGCCCTGGCAGCTGCTGACAGCAGGCTACTAGCAGGAAACTCCAGACCTACACCAGTCCCCTGTGAAATAGCTTGCTGAATGACTTTGAGCTGTTCAGCTGTTTCTGCATTGTTGCACTGGGCCAGAACTTGCTGGAGGGCTGTAATATTCAGGTTGTTGCTGCTCAGTAACTGTGTCACATCTCCATTCAAACAGGAGACTGACATTTTCTTGATCAGTTCTACCTCTTGTTTAACAGCTTCCTTTTTGATCTGGCAAGGTTTTACTTTAGACTTCAGTTTAGAGATCTTTTTCTCAGAGAGTTTGCTGACAGCAGATGGACTTTTAGTCTGAGCAGTAATAAACTGTGAAGAATCCTCATCTGTTTCACCATGTTCTGAGACAAGCACATTGACTGGTGTGTGCTTGCAATCCTTATCTTCAGACATATTAAAATCATAAACATCACTCTTATTGTCTAGACAAGTTTCAGAATCTGACCTATCTTGGCTACTTCCTACCTGACTTAGGTATG